TTCACTCCCCAGACGGCTGCAATGGCTGGAGCTCTGCCAATCCGAAGCCAGGAGCCTCTTCCGAGTCTTCCATGTGGGTGCAGGGACCCAAGCACTTCGGCCATCTTCTGCTGCTTTCCCAGGCCATAGCAGAGAGCTGGATTGGAAGAGGAGCAGCCAGGACTAGAACCAGCGCCCATATGGGATGCTGGCACTTCAAGCCAGGGCTTTAACCTGCTGTGCCACAGCACCGACCCTGTCATTCTTAAATCATGTAATGAGCAAGAAGTTATTTTTGTTATTGTATCTGTTATTCAGATATTCTTACTCTAGATATTAGCAAATCTTAATTTCAAGTATTTTTTAAATGGATCAAAGTTAAAAGTTGCTTGTGAAATCATTCTGTTTTCTAACCTTTTTTTTTTTTTTAAGATTTGTTTATTTTTTTTGACAGGCAGAGTGGACAGTGAGAGAGAGAGACAGAGAGAAAGGTCTTCCTTTTTGCCATTGGTTCACCCTCCAATGGCCGCCATGGCCGGCGCGCTACAGCCAGCGCATCGCACTGATCCAAAGCCAGGAGCCAGGTGCTTCTCCTGGTCTCCCATGGGGTGCAGGGCCCAAGCACTTCGGCCATCCTCCACTGCACTCCCGGGCCACAGCAGAGAGCTGGCCTGAAAGAGGGGCAACCGGGACAGAATCTGGCGCCCTGCCGGGACTAGAACCTGGTGTGCCAGCGCCGCAAGGCAGAGGATTAGCCTAGTGAGCCGCAGCGCCAGCAAGATTTGTTTATTTCAAAGTCAGAGTTATGGAGAGAGAGAGAGAGAGAAATCTTCGACCTGATGGTTTACTCTCCAGATGACTGCAATAGCCAGTGCTGGACCAGGCCGAAGCCAGGGGTCAGGGGCTTCTTCCAGGTCTCTCACGTGGGTAGCAGAGGCCCAACCACTTGGGCCATCCTCTGTTGCTTTTCCCAGACCATTAACAGAGAGCTGGATCAGAAGTGAAGTAGCTGGAACATGAACTGGTGCCCAGGTGGGATGCCGGTATTGCAGGTGGTAGCTTTACCTGCTAGGCCACAATGCCAGCCCCTGTTTTCTAACATTTTTGAGATTGCTGTCTATGATTAGTACTTTTTCTTAAAGGGAAGTGAAGATGTGTTGTATTCATTTTTTTAAGCTGTTTAAGTACTCAGAGTACAGGACTGACCTCATCAAAATTCTGAAGGTTACTTGGGAGAGAAAATTTTACCTGTAGCTAAGTGACGGAACTATGATTTCATTTGTATCTCTGCTTTTAAACTAGATGTTGGATTGAACACTAGGGACCAGCATTGTAGAACAGCAGATAAAACCGCTTCCTGTGACACCGGCATTCAGTACTGGTGCCAGTTTGAGTCCCTGCTGCTCAACTTCCAATCCAGCTCCCTGCTAATGGCCTGAGAAAAGCAGAGGAAGATGGCCCAAGTATTTGGGCCTCTGCCGCCCATGGAGGAGACCTGGAAGAAGCTCCTGGCTTCGGCCTGGCCCAGCTCTAGCTGTTGCTGTATCTGGGGAGTGAACCAACAGATGGACTTTGTCTCTGTCTCTTTCAAATAAATAAATAATTTTTTTTGACAGAGTTATAGAGAGAAAGAGAAAAAGGTCTTCCTTCTGTTGGTTCGCTCCCCATGTGGCCGCTACGGCTGGCGCTGCGCCGATCCGAAGCCAGGAGCCAGGTGCTTCTTCCTGGTCTCCCATGGGGTGCAGGGCCCAAGCACTTGGGCCATCCTCCACTGCCTTCCCAGGCCACAGCAGAGAGCAGGACTGGAAGAAGAGCAGCCGTGACTAGAATCTGGTGCCCAATAAATAATCATTAAAAAAAAAATAGTGGGGCCAGCACTGTGGCGCAGTGGGTTAACACCCTGCCCTGAAGCCCCGGCATCCGATGTGAGCGCCTGTTCAAGACCCAGCTGCTCCACTTCCAATCCGGCTCTCTGCTATGGCCTGGGATAGCAGTAGATGGCCCAAGTGCTTGGGCCCTGCACCCGCATGGGAGACCAGGAGGAAGCACCTGGCTCCTGGCTTTGGATCGGCACAGTGCTGTCCATAGTGGCCATTTGGGGGGTGAACCAACGGAAGGAAAACCTTTCTCTCTGCCTGTCTCTCTCACTGTCTATAACTCTACGTGTCAAATTGAAAAAAAAAAAAAATGAAAGGGCACCATCTCACCTGTGAAGAATTGCCTTAAAGCTTTACCCTGAATTGAATGAAGCCTTTAACTTTTGGTCTTTAGGACTTGATAGGCATAAAGGAATGAGTTAAGCTAGATCACCAGTTACTAGACAGATCTAGAGTGTTGGGCATTTTTACAAGACGGTGTCTAGGAAAAAAGGAAGGAGATGAAAATGGTGGTGGTGGTTCATGGAAGAGAGACTTCTAAGTCAAGACACTTAAAAAACAAATGTCTGGGCCGGTGCCGCGGCTCAATAGGCTAATCCTCCACCTGCGGCGCCGGCATACCAGGTTCTAGTTCCACTCAGGGTGCTGGATTCTGTCCCGGTTGCTCCTCTTCTAGTCCAGCTCTCTGCTGTGGCCCGGGAGTGTAGAGGAGAATGGCCCAAGTCTTTGAGCCCTGCACCCGCATGGGAGACCAGGAGAAGCACCTGGCTCCTGGCTTCGGATCAGTGTGGTGCACCAGCTGCAGCGCCCACTGGGGAGTGAACCAATGGAAAAAGGAAGAGCTTTCTCTCTGCCTCTCTCTCTCACTGTCCACTCTGCCTGTCAAAAAAAAAAAAAAATGAGGGCCGGTGCTGTGGCATAGAAGATTAAAGCACTGGCCTGAAGTGCCGGCATCCCATATGGGCGCCCGTTCAAGTCCAGGCTGTTCCTCTTTCGATCTGGCTCTCTGCTCTGGCCTGGGAAGGCAGTGGAAGATGGCCCGGGTCCTTGGGCCCCTGTGCCCGCATGGGAGACCTAGAAGAAGCTCCTGGCTCCTGGCTTCAGATCAGCTGAGCTCCAGCCATTGCAGTTATTTGGGGAGTGAACCACCAGATGGAAGACCTCCCTCCCTTGCTTCCTCCCTCCCTCCCTCCCTATCTTTCTCTTTCTCTCTCTGTAAAAAAAAAAAAAAAAAAAAAAAAATATGGGGCCAGCACTTTGGCCTAGCAGGTAAAGCCGCCGCCTCCAGTGCTGGCATCCCATATGGGCGCCAGTTCGAGTCCTGGCTGCTCCACTTCCAATCCAGCTCTCTGCTGTGGCCTGGGAAAGCAGTAGAAGATGGCCCAAGTCCTTGGGCCCCTGCACCCACGTGGGAGACTCAGAAGAGGCTCCTGGCTTCGAATCTGCACAGCTCTGGCAGCTACAGCCAACTGGGGAATGAACGAGCAGAGTAAGACCCCTCTCTCTCTCTCTCTCTCTTTCTCTCTCTCTCTGTCTCTCTACCTCTCTACCTCTCCTATCTGTAACTCTGAGTTTAAGTAAATAAATCTTTAAAAAAAAAAAAAAAACTAACTTCTAGAACTTTGAGAAAAAAAAATTTAACAAAATGTCTTTCAGAAACTTTGATAGGAACCCGATGTTTTAAAAAAATCAGATGTTTAAAAGATAGTTTGGAGCCAGCACTGTGGCATAGAGGGTAAAGCTACCACCTACAGTGCCAGCATCACATAGGGGCACCGGTTCCAGTCCCGGCTGCTCCATTTCCAATCCAGCTCTCTGCTATGGCTATGGCCTGGGAAAGCAGCAGAGGATGGCCCAAGTACTTGGGCCCCTGCACCTGTGTAGGAGACCCAGAAGAAGTGCCTGGCTCCTGGCTGCAGATCAGCTCAGCTCCGGCCATTGCCACCAATTGGGGAGTGAACCAGTGGATGGAACACTGCCTCTCTCTCTCTCTCTCTGCCTCTCCTCCTCTCTGTGTGTAGCTCTGACTTTCAAATAAATAAATAAATACTAAAAAAAAAAATAAAAACTACTTAGGACAGATTAAGAATTACTGAATTATTGATTTTGTTATGTGTGGTAATATAATAATGTGAGAAAGTGTCCTTAGTTTTAGGGAATTAGGTATAAATGTCCTAATGTCACCAACTTTCAAAAGATTCAGAAAAAAAAGTACTCGTATATGGTAAAGAAAATATGATAAAACATAAGGAATGGTAGAATGTATATGAATGACATTTTTTTTTTAATTTTTTCTATAAGTTCATAATAAAAAAGGGCAGAATTGTATGTCCTAGGAAGAGGGAAAATGTCACTTATCCTCAAGTGTCTTTTTTGCCCAGGATATAAAACCATACCCATTCCTTGTGAAAGATACATACAACTTAAATTGTAATGTGCTAGAGCCGGTGCTGTGGCGCAGCAGGTTAACGCCCTGGCCTGCAGTGCTGGCATCCCATATAGGTGCCGGTTCAAGATCCGGCTGCTCTACTTCCAGTCCAGCTCTCCAATCCCACCTATGGCCTGCGATAGCAGTAGAAGATAGCCCAAATCCTCGGGACCCTGCACCCATGTGGGAGACTTGGAAGAAGCTCCTGGCTCCTGGCTCCTGGCTCCTGGCTCCTGGCTCCTGGCTCCTGGCTCCTGGCTTCGGATTGGTGCAGCTCTGGCCGTTGCAGCCAACTGGGGAATGAACCAGTGGATGGAAGACCTCTCTCTCTCTCTCTCTGCCTCTCATCTCTCTGTGTAACTCTGACTTTCAAATAAATAAATAAATAAATTTTAAAAAATTGTAATGTGCTACAGATTTACTCTCCTGTGGTCTAAGGGAAAATCCAATGTAGAACTATTTTTTGCATGTTAATTTTACATAGAAGTTTAAATTTTACTGTAAGCCTCCCCCCAAAAATGGAAATCTGGTGGTTTTTTAAAAGCCCTAATAAAATCGTATATGATTGTAGTAATTTAATGAAAAGGTGATTATTTTAAGGTTATTGTTTTCTCATGCCTCAAAGGTTTATTAGATCAGAAAAAAAATTTTGCGACAAAGAATATGAATTTTAATTTGAAACTTCAGTGTACTTCTCTTGTTTCTGATTATTTTAGAGCCAAAGAACAAAACAAAGTACAGTGCTTGCCCCAGTCATTGACCTGAAGCGAGGTGGCTCCTCAGATGATCGTCAAATTGTGGACACACCACCACATGTAGCAGCTGGGTTAAAGGTAAGCCCACACCTGATCTGTGACTTTGATACATACACGCACACATACCTGTTCTTAGAGGACCTTCAGTTATGATGTTAAGCTGAGATGCAGCCTACCTGGGGAGAGATGTGTGTCCAGAGGATTTAAGAAGACCAGGAAAATGCTTCTGAAACCATAATATGTTGTTTTTCACAATGTGATCAGAAATGTAATCAGAATCTAAAGTTACTCTCAGTGATGACTACAAAAATGATTATGCTGTCCATGGCTTGTTTGGTTCTTTTAAGTTTTCTTTATGTTGTTTCTTTTAAGCTTTCCCAGAGGTATAGAAAAATTGAAATATTTGTTGTTGTTACTGTAAATAATCAAGAATTTTGCTTCAGAGTAGTAGTGTCTTAAATTTTGTTTGGTGGTGGCTTATTGAAGAATAAATGCTCTTGGGTATTAGGATAATATAGTGCTAAACTAAAAGTTAAAAGTCATGATTCTGGGCCGGCGCCGCAGCTCACTAGGCTAATCGTCCGCCTTGCGGCGCCGGCACACCAGGTTCTAGTCCCGGTCGGGGCGCCGGATTCTGTCCTGGTTGCCCCTCTTCCAGGCCAGCTCTCTGCTGTGGCCAGGGAGTACAGTGGAGGATGGCCCAAGTACTTGGGCCCTGCACCCCACGGAGACCAGGAGAAGCACCTGGCTCCTGCCATCGGATCAGTGCGGTGCGCCGGCCGCAGCGCGCCAGCTGCGGCGGCCATTGGAGAGTGAACCAACGGCAAAGGAAGACCTTTCTCTCTGTCTCTCTCTCTCACTGTCCACTCTGCCTGTCCAAAAAAAAAATTAAAAAAAAAGTCATGATAATAGCCAGCGCCACGGCACACCGGGTTCTAGTCCCAGTCAGGGCACCGGATTCTGTCCCAGTTGCTCCTCTTCTAGTCCAGCTCTCTGCTGTGGCCTGGGAGTGCAGTGGAGGATGGCCCAAGTGCTTGGGCCCTGTACCCGCATGGGAGACCAGGAGGAGCACCTGACTACTGGCTTTGGATCAGCACGGTGCGCTGGCCACAGTGGCCATTTGGGGGTGAACCAGCGGAAAAGGAAGACCTTTCTGTCTCTCTCTCTCACTGTCCACTCTGCCTGTCCAAAAAAAAAAAAAAAAAAAAAAAAAGTCATGATTCTGCTGCTACCTGACTGAGTCATCCTGGAAGATATGGAGATAATATTTTGATGTTTTTATCTTTCTCAGGACCCTGTTCCCAGTGGATTTTCTGCAGGAGAAGTTCTGATTCCCTTAGCTGATGAATATGATCCCATGTTTCCTAATGATTATGAGAAAGTAGTGAAGCGCCAAAGAGAGGAACGACAGAGACAGCGGGAGCTGGAAAGGCAAAAGGAAATAGAGGAAAGGGAAAAGTAAGGCTTTGTTTGGATTGGGGCTCTTTTGCAGTTGAATTATTTATTAAAATATTAGAGAATGAACTTCAGTGCTTAAGACTGAAATTGTCATGATTGGTCTGAGCAGTCAACAGAAGGAATCAAATTTTTTTTCCGTGTTTGTAGTTGTGATGTCTCGGCATGTGAGCAGACTGAGTAAATTTCATTATAGACTCTGAAAACCTGAAGTACCGATTTTGAGTGATTTATTAGAAAAATAATTTTGAGATCTGATGTTGAAGGCATTTTTCCTGTGTGATGACTACTAGAAGTACCATGGTTTAAATGTTTTTAACTTCACTATTTTGGAGCAAGATGGAATTTCTTTAAACTTACATGCATCTTTTTATTTTTAAAAAGTATGGGTGGCAGGATTTATTTTTAAGTTTTTATGTTATTAAATTGTTTGTTAAATATTGCATTGTTACTCATTTATTGAACCATTTCTAGAGAATTGAAACTATTAAATTATTACTATGTTGATAGGCTTTATGGTAAATGTCAAGGAAACTTTTCTTGCTAACTGTACTCATGTACCTATTCATTTTTATCTTTTGAGGTTTTCTCACTTTTCATGCTTTGCTAAATTTAATCTTCAAACAGTTGTGTCCTTGTGTCCTTCTGTGCCTTCCCCTTCCCCAATTCGTAATAATTATTTAAGAGGATTTGAATATTTTCTGGCCAGGAGGAAAGGCAAGATGATATCACAGATTCTATCTCTAGTGTGACTCAACTGTGATGAATATTTACTTCTTTTGTTCTCACAGGAGGCGTAAAGATAGACATGAAGCTAGTGGGTTTTCAAGGCGACCTGACCCAGATTCTGATGAAGATGAAGATTATGAGCGGGAGAGGAGGAAAAGAAGTAAGGCACTGATAGAAATATTATGTTTCAAGCGTGGTGTAGTCCCACTATTTGCTTTTTATACTCAAGTTAATAAGTAGCTTATTTGACATTGGTTTAGGTGGCTTTTCTTTCTGGAATCCCAGCAATCCATTTGCTGCACAACAATTTAAGTTTCTACTGTGATCTATATATAGATCTTTTGAGCTTCTGAGTACGGTTGTATTTCTGGTCATCATTCCTGGAAGTAGAGTCAAGCACACCAATGCATGTGAGTTACACGCGTGGATTTAAGGAAGCTACTTAGCTTTCTGGGTGTTGATTGCTTTCAACTGTCAGTGAGAAAGTGGGACGACAGGAGTTGGAGCTAGGTGCTTGAAGAGTCATTCCATCTCTATACTTTTATGAGCAAAATTGTAATTGTTTTTGAGATAAATCCTTCAAAAACCAAAATTATTTGAGAAAAAGATCCAATGTATTGATTTACTTTCCAGATGCCCCAAGGGCCTGGAATCAGGGCCAAAGATAAGAGCCAGAAACTCAATCCTGGGTCTTCAGTGTGGGTGGCAGGAGCCCAGTCAGTTGAGTCATCACTGTTGCCTCCCTGGGTGTGCATTAGCAGGAATCTGGAGTCAAATGGGAGCCAGGGATCAAACCCAGATAAATTCCTCAAGATGAATTTTTTTTTTTTTTTTTTTTTGAGAGGCAGAATTACAGACAGAGGGTGAGACACAAGAGAAAATTTTCCATCTCCTGGTTCACTCCCCAAATGGTGAGAGCTGGGCCAATCCAAAGCCAGGAGCTTCTTCCTGATCCTTTATGTGGGTGCAGGGGCCTAAACCCTTGGGCCATCTTCCACTGCTTTCTCAGGCTATAAGTGGAGAGCCGGATCAGAAGAAGAGCAGCCAGGACTTGAACCAGCACCCATATGGGATGCTGGCGCTGCAAGTGAAGGCTTAACCTACACCACCACAGTGCCGGCCCCCTCAACATGAATTCTTAATAATTATTAGCAGTGTTCTAATGGGAATTGTGAGAATGGGGCATGCTTTATTATTATTACTATTATTATCATTATTTGTTTTTGTGAAAGATTTAATTTATTTTGAGAGGTAAAGTTAACAAACAGAGAAGGAGAGACAGAGAGCAAGGTCTTCTATCCACTTGTTCAGTTCCCAGATGGCGGCAGTGGCTAGAGTTGGGCTGATCTGAAGCCAGGAACAGGAGCTTCTTTTGGGTCTCCTATGCAGATGCAGGGACCCAAGCACTTGGGCCATCTTCCACTGCTTTCCTAGGCCATAAGCAGAGAGCTGGATCTGAAGAGCAGCAACCAAGACATGAATTCATATGGGATGCTGGCACCAAAACAGAGGCTTAGCCTACTGTGCCAAAGCACCATGGACCACTTTTGTTTTTTATAGGTTTATTTTCTTTATTTGAAAGGCAGAATGAAAGAGAGAGAGAGAGATCTTCGTATCCGCTGGTTCACTCCACAAAATGACCACAATGGCCTGTGCTGGGCTGGGCCAAAGGCAGGAGCCAGAAGCTTGATCCAGGAGCAGCTAGGTCTCAAACCAGCACCCGTATTACCAGCACTGCAGGCAGTAGCTTTACCCGCTGCACCACAATGCTGGCCACTTGTGTTGTATTTCATATCCATTATCTCTGTTGAGCAACAGATGTTTCATTTCTGTTAGCATTTTTTATTGGTTAAATGTTTATACAGCTCATCTTTCCAGTTTATAAGTTGACTATCCTTTTTTTAAGAACATTATTAAAAACTTTTATTTTTTTCTTAAACATTATTAGGAACTATAATGCCTCTTATAAAAAGAGCTTCTAGGCTGGCGCCACGGCTTACTAGGCTAATCCTCCGCCTGTGGCACCAGCACCCCGGGTTCTAGTCCCAATCAGGGTGCCAGATTCTGTCCCGGTTGCTCCTCTTCCAGTCCAGCTCTCCACTGTGGCCCGGGAAGGCAGCGGAGGATGGCCCAAGTGCTTGGGCCCTGCATCCGCATGGGAGACCAGGAGGAAGCACCTGGCTTTCGAATCAGCGCAGCGGCCATTTTGGGGGTGAACCAACGGAAAGAAGACCTTTCTCTCTGTCTGTCTCTCCCTCACTGTCTAACTCTGCCTGTCAAAAAAAAAAAAGAGCTTTTATTGACCTTGTAGCCAATATTATATCCATGGATATGCTAGTGCCCCCGTTACCTGCAGTTTTGCTTTCTGAGGTATCAGTTGCACATGGTAAACCACAGACTAAAGATATTTTGTGTATATATGTATATATATATATATATACACACACACAAAATATATACAAATATATTGTATAGTACAATAAGATATTTTGTGAAAGGGAGAAAAACCATATTATATATAACTTGTTATAGTATATGATTGTAATTGTCCTGTTGCATTATTAGTTATTGTTGCTAATCTCTTAAACTTTATCATAGGAGTACATATATTATAGGAAAAAAGATATATAGTGTTTGATCTCTTTTTTTTTTTTTTTGAAGGCAGAGTTAGAGAGACAGAGAGAGAGGTCTTCCATCTGCTGGTTCACTCCCCAGTTGGCCACAACAGCCAGAGCTGAGCTGATCAAAGCCAGGAGCCAGGAGCTTCTTCCAGGTCTCCCACATGGGTAAAGGGGCCCAAGGCCTTGGGCCATCTTTTCTGCTGCTCTCCCAGGCGATAGCAGACAGCTGGATCAGAAGTGGTGCAGCTGGATAGCAGAGAGCTGGATCAGAAGTGGTGCAGCTGGGACTCGAACCAGCAGCCATATAGTGTTTGATTCTATGTGCAGTGTTTCAGGTGTCTGGGAAATGTCTTGGGTGCATATTCCCTGTGGATAAAGAGGGTCTACTGTACTGCTATTAACAGATAGGGCATACTCATATTTTAACTTGGTTAGTAGCAGATTTGTAGTAGTCAACCTGAATTTTTTATGCTGACCTTATTAGTCTGCTTTTCACAGAGTCCCATCAATAATCACCTCAGGTCTTAGTGACAAGATTAAAAAACTACCACAGGAGTAATTCAAAAGGAATATATATGGGGGCCGGTGCTGTGGCGCAGTAGGCTAATTCTCTGCCTGTGGCGCCAGCATCCCATGTGGGTGCCAGTTCGAGTCCTGGCCGCCCCTCTTCCAATCCAGCTCTCTGCTATGGCCTGGGAAAGTAGTCAAGGATGGCCCAAGTCCTTGGCCCCTGCACCCACATGGGAGACTCGGAAAGCATTTTCCTGGCTCCTGGCTTCAGAGCAGTGCAGTTCCCGGCCGTTACAACCATTTGGGGAGTGAATCAGCAGAAGGAAAACCTTTCTCTCTGCCTCCCCCTTTCTCTGTCTGTAACTACCTTTCAAATAAACAAATAAAATCTTTAAAAAAAATACATATGGAGACTTTCTGTGGATTTATATTTATCCTCAGTAATTTGTAACAGCCAGTCTGATTAATCACAATGCATCCATACTGAATTTAAAGTAATTACTATTGTGAAATATTTTAAATTGATGCAGCATAATTTATAAACAACTTTTAAAATTTCCATTTTACTCTATACTAATATGGTAGGATATACATGTAATGAAAATTCCTTATTGCTTCTGCCTTCAATTGTTGGATAGAAAATGGGAAAAAAAAAAACTTACCTTTTTGGTTGATTTGTATCCCCCATTTTCCATGCAATAACATAAACAGGAAGGAATACTGGCAGCACCTGCCAGGTTCTTCCAGGAGCCAGAAGGACTCACACTTCCAAATTGGTGTTCAGTTCCAGGACTAACCATGCTGTGTCGTGGGGGAAAGCTTTGGTGTGATAGGGAACTGAATTTATTTCTTTTCTGCCAGTTTATTCATTTCTGACCATTTTCTCATCTGTAAACTGGAAATAGTAACCTACTTCAAAGGTTTATGAAGCCCAGAGGAGGTCATGTATAAGTCTGAAATGCATAATTTTTCCTTGAAAATCACTTGGTAACTACATTCTAGGTTTTGTTGTTGTTGTTAAGATTTATTTACTTGAAGGGCACAGTTAGAGCTTCCATCCTCTGGTTCACTCCCCACGTGGCTGCAAGGACTGGGCCAAACTGAAGCCAGGACCCAGGAGCTTCATCTGGTTCTCCCATGTGGGTCCAGGGGCCTAAGCACTTGTTCCATCTGCTGCTGCTTTCCCAGGCATATTAGCAGGGAGCTGGATTGGAAATGGAACAGCCAGGACTCGAACCAGTACTCACATGCGATGCGGTCATTGCAGTTGGTAGCTTTAATGTCATAGTGCCAACCCCAATTCTGGGGTTCCTGAATGCCTTTTACAAAGGAACAGTTTTGTCTGTCTGGATGTTACCCGTTCTCTTCATTTCTTTTTTTAAATTTATTTTTTTGAGAGACAGAGCTCCCAGACATTGGCCTGCTCCCCAAATGCCCACAACAACCTGAATTCTGGGCTGAAGCCTGGAGCCAGGATCTCAGTCCGAGTCTCCCATGTGGTAGCAGGAACCCAACTACTTGAGCCATCACTGCTGCTTTCCCTATCGATAGGAAGCTGGACTCAGGAGCTGAGGTTTAAACCTAGGGACTCTGACATGGAATGTGGGCATCCTAACCAGTATTGTAACTACTGTGCTAAACACCTGACTCGATTTCTACATTTGTAATCCTAACTTCAGATACTCAGTTATTTAGGGATTAGCAGAAATATGGAAGTACCAGGTCTTCGTCTTTTTTCTTTTTTTCCCTCCCCTTAAGGATATGTTGATAGAAAGAACAGAGCCTGTTAAAGTCCTTGGGAGTCAGGCATCGGAAACATTTTTCTTCCCTCCTTTCATCTGTGTATTTGTTTTTGCAGGTATGGGCGGTGCTGCCATTGCCCCACCTACTTCTCTTGTAGAGAAAGACAAAGAATGTACGTAGAACCATTTCTTCCCCTTTTATTCTGCTATAAATCGTTAACCTAATTATGGGGATTCATAGGTTGGATCACTGTTTCCTGGGTTTAGAAGGAAGCAGCCTGACCCTTCAGGCTGAAGGTGAGCCAGAGCTGCTGCTGTCTTCCACCCCTGCTACTTTTAGACCTTTTTAAACTGATAGCTGTTTTATTTATGACCTTCCACAAAGGGCAGTACTTTCTTTGGTTAATTTTTTCCCAGTAGGTTGTTTCAGAGTGAGTGTGTGTGCCTGTGTAAGTATGGTGCCCACACACTGTTTCTTCTCCCAGTGGGGATTGGGACTGAACTTTTCTGTATCATCTAGATCATTTCCCATTGCTCTGGACTGGATCATAACTAAACTGCCCCAAGAAAATGTAGCTTTCTCTAAACTGCTCATACCTGTCACACTATTTATGTTACTATTTAAAGAAGGTGATTTTTAATATATCTGTTGTCTATTAAAAACATATGACAATATGTTACAGTTGAAACCAATCTCCAGGAATGGGGTCCAAGCATCTGCATAGCTTTAAAGCTTCCATTGGTTCTAAAGTGTAGTTAGAGTTGAAATGTGGTCCCTGATATTAAAGACCTTTGTGGTCTGTAAGACTAAGAAAATGGAAAGGTTAGATAGTATCCATAGATACTCTGAGAGTTAGGAGAGAGTTATATTTATTTCCTTGAAACATGCAGAAAATCTTATGAATTCAAGCTAGAATTGTCAGTTTTAAAAGGTGAATGAAATTTCAGTAAGGTGTAAAAAGCACGTTTGATGAGATACGGACAGTAGAAGTGGTGTTAAAATTAGGAATCAGTGTTCTACATTTGTGATTTGATCACTTCTTGTGGTAAACCAGAAATGTAGTTTGAATTAATTCAAGATAAGTAATTGATACAGGTGCAATTTCAAAATTTTGTCTATGGTGTCTTGGTGAAGCTGGTTTGCTTTTCTCCACCAGTACCCCGAGATTTTCCTTATGAAGAAGACTCCAGACCTCGATCCCAGTCTTCCAAAGCTGCCATTCCTCCCCCAGTGTATGAAGAACAGGACAGACCGAGATCTCCAACTGGGCCTAGCAACTCTTTCCTTGCTAACATGGGGTAATGATTTTAAGTGTTACTATCTAAGCAAATGTAAAAATGCCTTGAGAAACAGTTTGAGGTATGGGCAGTCCCTTTGCGTAGATTCAGCTTGTTTGAAAATGGGGACATTGAGGACTACAGGGAGACACTTGGTGAGTTCAGTCGCCCAGTGCCCTTCTCAAGGGATTTGTGCTCAAGGTGAAACTGGTTTGTACACAACAAGTTTTGAATGGTTTAGATGTTGAGTATTATTTCTCTGGATAGGAAGTTTCTGATAACTACATTTATTATTTACATTAATTTTAATAACATTTGCACAAATAAAATGAATTAGCGTTAACTTGGGTTATCTCCAAAGGGTAAGTAACTTTTTTTCCTTCTAATAAAAAGGTCATTTGCTTTAAGGTCATGTTTCTATACCTTTAGTCTAAAAACTGTTAGTCATTCTCACTATAATTCGGTATTTGTTTGCCAGCAAACAAAGATCAATTTAAAGGTTGACATTCAGGTGGGGCTCGTGGATTTCTTTTTCCCACCTGGCTGGATTTGGTGTATTTAGTGTGCTTTTTGGTTAAGGAAATGTTTTTCTGGTCTGCTCTGATTGTGTGAAAGAACTATCAAATGAAGCAGCATCACACTGAGGTCTTTGTTCTGTGTTGCTTACCAGGATGCTGCCTTTCATAGAAGTGCTGCCAGTGAGGCACTTGAGCCGCCACGCCTTTTTGGGTCTGGGGTTCCTGCACACCAGGAATGTTTTGAGTTTCTAATTCTTGGTGTCCGTCTCCTATCCTGCATGACGCTTTATGGTAGCTATGGGCCACAGGTGCATGTGAAAGTCTAGTTTCTCTGTCACCCTAGTGAAGTGTCAAGTACTCTCAGTAACCAGATGCAGCTGATGCTGACTGTATTTGACAGTGTAGATCTAGAGCTTTTCCATCATTGCTGTAAATCTTATTGGACAGGGTTTCCATAGAATATGTGCTGGAGACTTCAGCTTTTTTTTTTTTGCTTGATGGTAAAAATTGACATTTTGCTGACTTCCCTTTTAAACAGGAATTATACCTTTAACTTAAGAAAGATGTAATGTGGTGTAATTGAAAAGATTTTAGTCTTTTTACTCCTAGATTAGCTTATTCAAATGAAAACTCTTAAATACATGAAATTCGGAAACAGATCTGGTGGAAACAGGGTTTTGTGGGTCATTTTAAGCAGCAGTGGTCACTGGGGGGCGCCCTTGAGACTCATGTGGCGCCTCAAGTGTGAAAGCTGTGATGCTATTGTAAAAACAGTGGACTAAGAAGCAAATGCTTCGTTAGTTCCACTTCTGCCATTAATACCCACAGAAATAATTTCCTTTTTTCAAGATTTATTTATTGGAAAGGGTTACAAAGGCGGGGGAGGGGAGAGCTTCCATCTACTGGTTTACTCTCTAAATGGCCATAACAGAGGTGGGCCAGGCTGGAGCCAGGAGCCTCATCCAGGTTGCTCATGTGGGTGGCAGGAGCCCAAGCACTTGGGCCATATTCCACAGCTTTTCCCAGGCCATTAGCAGGAAGCGGGATGGAAAGTGCAGCAGCTGGGACTCGAACAGGCACCCATATGGGATCCCGGCATTGGAGGCAGCAGATTAACCCATTACACCAGCCCCAGAAATAATTTCTGAATATCATGTCTTGCTTTACTTCTGGTCAACCATAAGGTCATCATCTGGTTCTGTGTTTCCTGTTTGTTAAGTAGGTGATTTCTAAGTGTTTATTGATTTAAAAGTCTTCCATTGGAATTCTGCGCTATATCTTTATTGTCTGAAATTTGATACTTATTTTTTGACAGGCTGCTCTTTTCACTAAACTGCGGTCATAAACTATGTAACTGCAGTTCTGGGAGGACTCAAGAAGTCTGGTGTTTTCCACAGAGGTATTGGGAAGATTCTATAAGAACTAGAGATTACAGAATATTCTGGATTGCAGTCATTAGCTTAGGATATCCGGAACATCTCCAGTTTCCCTCTAAAGACTCACTGTTAATTATCTGTGATTTCATTGAAGCCCTTGTGGAATTTATACTCTCTTTCTCTAGAAGGAGATCATAGTGATATAAAATCCAACTTATAGTTGATGATGTCAAGTGAAGGAACATTTTCCATTCTCCTCCTAGTGGCACGGTAGCACATAAGATCATGCAGAAGTACGGCTTCCGGGAAGGCCAGGGTCTGGGAAAACATGAGCAGGGACTGAGCACTGCGTTGTCAGTGGAGAAGACCAGCAAGCGGGGCGGCAAAATAATTGTGGGTGACGCGATGGAGAAGGGTGAATCTCAGGGTAAGTCTACAAAGAGGCGGCGCTCCCTCAGCCCAGCTGGAAAGGCCAGCGGGCTGTGATACGGTAATTCTAAATTTATGATGCATTTCTACTTGTGTTTTGTGAAATGCAGAGGCCTCAGGCTCATCTTTATATTTTCAGAACATGGCTAATAGAAAGATGAAATCCTCTGGGAGGAAAACACCAATGGGAATTAGGCAGGAAATGAACAGTCCTGAGGAAAGTTATTTCATACCTACTTTGGGCAAAGAATCTTGTTTTCTTGATAAAATAATTATGTTTTTGTGGCATGAAGGACAGAGCTGTGTGTAGTCTATTGTTATTTTATCAGTTATATCTTTCTGTTCAGTGAATCATTTCTCCTTTTCCCCCTTTCTCTAGCCTTTCATTATAGATGTGGTTGATTGCTTGCTCCGTGAGATGTAAAGTTTTACAGTCTGTTGATAGATGATTTTATTTTGATTTCTACAGTCTGCACTGAGAGCATATAGGAATGTGACAAATGCATAGTAGCATTTTAAGCAGGCAAATTGAGTTAATTTTAAGTCATCTTAGCTGAGTTCCCTTTCTTAAAATAAGGAAACTTTTCGGGCAGCCCTGTTGATGTGCAGCTCAGGAAGCAGCAAGTCAGCCTGAATCTAGCAAAAAACAGTGGTTATGCCAATTTGTGCGAATATCTCAAGCCTGTCAGCCATAATTAACTGCTTGTTATGCTGGGCTAATGACTTTGGACTGTTACTCGCCAGTTCTTACAATCACCTGTCATTGTGACCCATATGTGTTGTCAGCCCTTTAGAAAGTGAAAGTGAAATGAGCAGGTTGCAGGTAATAGTGGAAGCTAAAAATTTTCAGTAATTATTATACAAACATAAAACAAATGCCTTCATTGCAAGTAAGGCTACATTTTTTGCTCAGAAATTATATAGATGCTTATTAATGATTCTAGAACATAGTGAACATTGCTCTTGAAGTTAAATTGGTCATTGTTAGTAGGCCTCACTTCTGTGACATGTCTGTAATATGTTTTTACACAGATGCATCTAAGAAGTCGGATTCAAATCCATTGACTGAAATACTTAAGTGTCCCACTAAAGTCGTCCTACTAAGGGTAAGAAGCAAAAGAAAAAAACCTGGCTGCCTGCCTTAATTTTTGTGTTCCCTCATCCTAGACCCTGACCAACATTGCTTTCACCCCGCCCCCATACCATTTACAGTTAAAGAAGTCCAAAAATAATACTTTGGCAAATAGTATCTTTGGGTAGACCCTATTTAAGGCTGGTTTCAGATTCCCTTTTTACTAATGTTTATGTTTCTTTGCTAAAAACAGTGTTTGAGAGTACATTGAGTGATTACTTTGAAATTGCTAGGACTTAAGCTGAGTTTATGCATTTTGGTGCTTTATAGATGCTCTTAAAACTTTTAAAAACAACGTATTGTTTTGGTGTTTTAAGAAATACCAACCTTTGAGTGTTTCAGGGACAGTATTTTTCGTTGTGTCTTTGGAGATTGAAAACATTTGCTGTTATGAATAAAATTCATTTATTTGTTATGTATTTGTAAATTATACTGAGCTTAAATTATTTTGTTTGCTTATAGAACATGGTTGGTGCAGGAGAGGTAGATGAAGACTTGGAAGTTGAAACCAAGGAAGAATGTGAAAAATATGGCAAAGTTGGAAAATGTGTGATATTTGAAGTAAGCGAGTTTTCTTTTGCTGTTTATAACCCAAGTTGTAATGGGCAGTTTACAAAACATTTTCTACAAGTACAGGGGATATTGCTATAAGTAACATATTGTCTTACTGCCACAGACAACAGACAGTAATTAACACTTTTCTTATTGTGACAGTTTTAAATATAAAAACAAGAATGATATCAAATGTGATTTGGTGAAGAAATAAATTTTTTTTAGGTTTATTTATTTATTTGAAAAGTAGAATTAAGGAGACAGAAATATCTTTCATCATCTGGTTCACTCCGCAAAATGGCCGCAATCACTGTGCCAGGCTGAAGCCAGAAGCCAGGAGCCATCCCAAGTAGGTGCCAGGGTCCCACACACTTGGGCTATCTTCTGCTACTTTCCTAGGCACATTAGCAGGGAACTGGATCAGAAGTGCAGCAGCCAGGATTCAAACTGGCACTCAGATGGGATGCCAGCTTTGCAGGTGGTAGCTTTACCCAATGTGCTACAATGCCGGCCCTCAGAAATGTTTCATTTTATGACTGAGGATCAATGTAGTGATTAAATACCTCGATTGTAGTGTGCTTGAGTAGTTTAGCTATTTAATCATGCCTTTGATTTCAGTCATTTAGCAAGTATTTATGTAGTGACTCATATGCTCTGTACTATATTGAGAGTATTTGGGATGCAGGAAACATTATATACTCTCTGATCTGTGCAATTGAAGAAATATAAACACAGGTAAAACAGCTAGGGAACATTCAATTTCTGAACTTGGTTGTATTGACTTTAAGTATAGGAGCTGAAAAAGAGAAGTAAGTCAGCAGGAAATAGAGGTGGCTGTGTGAACAGTGTCAGCAGATATGAGCTGAGTTTTGAAATGACTAGGTCAGTTTTGTGGGCAGGACCAGGGAAGGGAATTCAGATTGGGGAAGAAGCTTCTTGGAAGTAATGTAGATGGAATGGGTGGATATGAGGATTAGGAGGAGACGTGTTTACATAGATGGAAGAGCCATATTACAGAGGATTTAGAAAGCTAGTCAGTCAAAATTGAGATCTAAAGTGAAAAGTGTTGAGAGCACAAATCTAAAATTTCTGCTCCCATTTCTTCCTTTTTCCTTACAATATTGCTGTTTGTAGACCACATAAGTATTTGCTTGTCCATCAGTTGGTGTAGAACCTCTAAGAGTCAAAAACCACCTTGCTTAGCTGTGTGTTCCCAGCACCCAACTACAAAACAGGCATTCGGCATAATCCTTGATGACAATTTAAACTTGTTTGGTTTTGGACTACTGTTGTCCATGTATGCTAATGAGTAGAATGTTTACTCCGATGCAGATCATGTAAAGGAGAAAAGTCATAGTGCTAATCTCAAATTATTCCTTTTACTCTTTGTGTGTGTGTGTGTGTGTGTGACAGGTAGAGTTATAGACAGAGAGACAGAAAGAAAGGTCTTCCGTCGGTTCACTCCCCAAATGGCCACAGCAGCCAGCGCTGTGCCAATCCGAAGCCAGGAGCCAGGTGCTTCCTGGTCTCCCGTGCGGGTGCAGGGGCTCAAGCACTTGGGCCATCCTCTACTGCCCTCCCGGGCCACAGCAGAGAGCTGGGCTGGAAAAAGGGCGGCCGGGACTAGAACCCGGCGCCCATACAGGATGCCAGCGCTGCACACAGAGGATTAACCAAGCGAGCCATGGCACCAGCCCTGATTCCTTTTACTCTTACTGTCATTTCTCTTTCAGATTCCTGGTGCCCCTGATGATGAAGCAGTACGAATATTTTTAGAATTTGAGAGAGTTGAGTCAGCAATCAAAGGTAGGTTGTACAGCTAAAATAAACAAACAAAAGTTGAATTTGTGACCTTAACTCTTATAAATGAAGTTACTGTTAAAGTTAATGCTGTCATGATGTCTTACAAGATACCTTTATTAACCGCCTGTCTTTTTGTTTGCCTTTTAGCTGTTGTTGATCTGAATGGGAGGTATTTTGGTGGACGTGTGGTAAAAGCATGTTTCTACAATTTGGATAAATTTAGGGTTTTGGATTTGGCAGAGCAGGTTTGACTTTAAGAACTAGAGTGCAAGTCATCTCCAGTGATCCTTAAATTAACTGCAGACTGAGCAGAGGAGAAGGAATGGTAAAAGCCTTCGTGACTGTTGATACTGAGACTCTTGGAAGGACTTCTAAGATATATGTTGGTTTATCCCTTTTTTATCTTGTGGCTTTTTAATATAGCATAAAAATCCTTTTAAAAAAAACAACAATTGTGTGCCTCTCTGATTGTTCCTCTTTTTTATTACTACTTCTGAGTTCATTACTCTTGCTAGAATTTCATGGTAATTTTCAAGTGCTTTGATGATGCAGCATATCTTGCACTAAAAAAACTAGGGCGTTTTGGGACGTGGGGTTGTATTAAATTATCCTTTGTTTTTCTTTCTCCCCTTTCCCTTTTTAATAAAGCCTAGAAGTTATTAAACTAGTTCATAAATTCTGTAATAAAGTAGCATCTTGGCAGTCTGCCAGAGATGAAAATGTCTGCTTTCTCTAACAGAGAAATTCTTTTCAGTGACTCCAGTCATAGAAAAAACTCTGCAGCCTGAGCTAAGAATAGTGAGCCAGCCATGACCTATTTGGATGAATAATTTGTCATTCAGCTAAGTCAGACTGTAGGGTTTGTAGTGGATTTATGGAACGTGTGGGTATAGAAATCATGAATCACTTGTTTTCAGAGATTCAAGCTTAGTCTTTAGGGTAGATCAGAAATGACAAATTAATTCAGAACCTAACTGTTAAGTTGAAAATATGTACCCAATTATGTTTGGGTAATGGCAATTCTATGGGGTCTTGTTTCTATTGGCCAAAATCCAGCAATGTTAATTCTATTATATGTAATTTTAAAATTTATAAAACTCAACCCTTTCATCTACTTTAGAATTGTACTGCAAATTAATATGGTTTCTGGAAATGTGAAAAGTTGTACCACTGAAGTGCATTGATAAATGGGGCTAAAAATTTAGCAGGGCAACACAAAAAAATATTCATTGCTGAAGTTCATTGCCAGAGCAATGGATGTTTCCAAAAAAATATTCAAGCTTATGATCTGTTCCTTGCTTTTCCCAAATATTGCATGTGACTTTCTTTGAAGTGGCAACTGAGGGACCCGAACCTCTGTTGTCTCTGTAGGTTGTTATGACATGAACGTGCACTGTGACCCTTGGGGGGAAAGCTCAACATTGTTTGCATCCATGGACTTGGTTTGGAGACAGGAATATTTTGACCCTTTTTACAAAAGGATTTTCTCATGTTTTTATTTAACATAAGTAAAGAAATAACATTTTATCTTTGGTGGTATTATTTTAAATAAAATTAGGACTGGAGTTCTGTGATAAAAGTGCTGTTAAATAAGGTAAGTTGAGTTAGAGAATATAAGATACAAAGAACTGCATAAGTGGATGTTTAACAGGACCATAAGAATTCAAAGCAGTCATGAAACTGCCCTGTTCTACCTGTGGGATTAGGTGGATGAATATAAAGACCATGTTTGAACTTACAGGTATCTAAATGCCATATATTATGATATAGTTTAATTTGTATATCTTTCTGCCCAGTCTCTTTAATTACTACTTTATAAATTATCCACATCTTACTTAGTCATTTAGTACATTATATGTCATGAGTTTCTGGCATAGGGATCCAACTTCTACATCTGCAAATGAACCTTGAGAAATTTGAAATTTTCAGTGGTAACTAAAATTCAAATTAATTTCAACACAACAGTTTTAATATAAGCTACCACATAACTAGCCGAGTTCACTGTGGTAGGCATTTGTCATTCTTTGTGCCCCATCAGTGAATTTTTAATATTTATTTGAAAGGCAGAATTAGAGAAGAGGCAGAGATCTTCTGTCTGCTAATTCACTCACCAAATGGCTGCAACAGCCAGGGCTGGGCCAGGCTGAAGCCAGGAGCCTGGAACTCCATCCAGATCTCCCACGTGGGTGGCAGGGGCCCAAGTACTTTAGTTATATTCCACTGCTTTCCCAGGAACATTAGAAGGGAGCTGGATCAGAAGTGGAGCAGCTGAGATTCGAACATGAGATGCTGGTGTTTCAAGCAGCAGCTTAACTTTCTGCACCACAATGCTAGCCCATCCCCATAACTTTTTTTGTTTGTTTGTTTAATATTTATTTGACAGGCAGAGTTAGAGGTCTTCTATCCACTGGTTCATTCCCCAGATGGCCACAATGGCCAAAGCTGTGCCTATCCAAGGCCAGGAGCTTCTTCTGGGTCTCCCACACGAGTGCAGGGGTCAAGGGACTTGGGCCATCATCTTCTGCTTTCTCAGGCCATAGCAGAGAGCTGGATTCCAAGTGGAGTAGCCAGGACTTGAACCCGTGTCCATATGGGATGCCAGCACTGCAGTCGACAGCTTAACCGGCTATGCCACAGCACTGTCCCCCCCCCCCCATAATATTTTTGAAGCATCAATGATTTTATCATTCCCCACCCAAACTCCAGTATAAGTTTGATATTTATTAAATTTTAGAAAATTTGATTCTCTGATATTCTGTTCAACCTGATGTTAGTGCCTCAAACCATATCCTATTCGGATATGTTGTAACAAGTTAGCATAAATTTATTTTGGTGCAATAATTTTGAGATCCATGTAAATATTTTTATAATCATACATTTTTCAAGCTTTTGAAGATTCCTCCTAACTGGGCAATGAGAATGCTAAGAACTGCTGGTTATTCCTTAGGCACCTGTAGTGTTGAATCCAGACGAAACAGTTCAGATCTTAGTTTACCACTTAACTGTGTGCCCAATTACCTCACTTGAAAATTCAAATCATGCCTACTTGGGATTGTTAGGATTAAATGAATCATATGTTGTCTGCCATAAACTCTTTCAGCTGCTATAGCAAAACGCCATAAACTCAGTCTCTTACAAATAAGAGACATTTATTTCTTTGAGTTCCAGAACATGAGAAGTACAAGATCAAGGCAAGAGCAGTGTCAGTTTTATCTGGTTCATAGATGACCATCTTCTCCTTAAGTTTGTAATATATTTACTTGTGTTTGTCACATTCTTCATTGCATCAGGATCCTGCAGCCTCCTAAATGATTTTTTAATTTATCTATATGAAGGTTATTTTGGGTGTACTGCAAACTTTTAAAGAGTTTTGGCATGTTGAACATCTGTGTTCACTATTACAATATCATACAGAATAGTTTCACTCCCCTTAAAATAACAGTCCTCTGTGCTTTACCTATGTATTCAATTCTCACCCCACCTCCATCCCTGGCAACTACTTTTCCAGAATCTCATACTACTGGAGCCATGCTATATGCAGTTTGTTGTTTTTTTACAGTGGCTTTTTTTCACCTAGTAATGGTGCATTTAATTAAAATTCATCCATATCTTTTTGTGGCTCGGTAGCTAGCTCAGTTTTTTTTTTTTTTTAATCAGTGAATAATGCTTTATTGTGTCGATGTACCAGTTTGTTCATTCATCTATTGAAGAACATTGTGGTTACTTCTAGGCTGTGGCAGTTATGAATAAAACTGCTATAAACATCCATGTGGAGGTTTTTTGTGGACATTAGTTGTGTAAACATGAAGGAGTGTGGTCGCTGGCTTGCATGGAAACCCTTGTCTTTTCCATATTTGCAGACTCTCCCTGTACTGGCATGTAATAAACATGCTCAAATTTCTCCCTCTTTAGAGAAGAAAAAAAAAGGTCAAGCCCTTGAATATTTAGGTCACCTGCTACTCCCCCATGTCTATTTTCATAGCCAGGCTTCCTACCACCATGCTCAGATTAGCTCTTGCATTCAGCCTGCACTCGCGGAGTGAAGAGTATATTTGATCACAAATTAGACCTCTCCTTCCACTAGGCCCCGTTAATTGCAGTTGGAGATCAATGTGGCCCATATATAATGGACCCTCGTTACTTTGTTCTTCTCAGCTGTTTATGGTGTTTGACACTAAGCCACTGCCTCCTTGAGGACTGAGAGAGATCACTGTTCCCTCTGGTGTTTCCCTTTATTATTGCTCACTCTTCCTCACTCTCCAGCTGTTTACCCTGACCTTAAGCTTCCTCTCTGACCAATACAGCTCTTGATCTTGCCAGTCTTCATTAGGAAACTTGGAATCTATAACCAACTGCCTACTAGGTAGATACCATCACTTGAGTTGAAACACGTGTTCCAAACTTAATTATTTTTCCCTTTGAAACCCCCTGCTACTAAATTTCTAGTTTGGAGAGAAGCATTACCTATTAATGCATCCAAGTCAGAAACTAGGAACTGTTCCTCCCTTTTGTATTCCAACCCATTTCTTTTCCATCTTATGTATTAGCCCAATGGGATTCTATTATCTCCCGTCCTCTTTATAGACCCATGGCTCCAGCTGAACTCTGTTGTTGCACTCTCATTCCTCTGGTCTGCCAAGACAACACCCTAGCTGTTCAGGCTACTGTCTTATATAAAAATCTTTGCATCTCCACAGCAGGTCTAGATTCGTGCTGGTAAGCTGAAGACTTCTTGGCCACTCTTGTGCACGTTCTTACTGCATCACCTTATGTTCCAGCAGGGGAGTCCCTGGCATTCATTTTTGCTCATGTTCTCTCTGGAGAATTGTCTCAGCCCTCCACTCGTCCAACAGTTAACCTTGTGCCTAGTAAGTGGCTCTTCAAGCTAGATGTATTAGCACCACAAGCCTTTGCATGAAAAATAGCAGTCTTCTAGTCTATGTCCCCTGTGGTAACTACATGTTAACTTTTTTACTTGGATTCCTTCTCAACTCCACCTCTTTTTCTAAAGACATCTTTTTTAAAGATTTTATTCATTTCAGAGGCAGATCTGTGCCTCTTGTTCACTTGTTCACTTCCCAAATGCCCACAACAGCCAGGGTTGGGCCAGACCAAAACCAGGATCCCAGAACTCATTCTCCTGTGGGTTGCAGGGATTCAACTACTTGAGCCAATGCCTGCTGCCTCCCAAGGTGCACATTAGCAAGAAGCTGGAATCAAGCTTGGCTAGGACTTGAACCCAGGCACTCCAATATGAAATGTGGGCATTCCAAGTGGTGGCTTAACAGCTCTGCCAGATACCCATACATCTTTACAAAGCTGCTTTTCTTCCTAGGTAGATGTGTCAGAATGGTCTGTACTAGTCCCTAAATTTCCATCCAGTACTCAACCCACTGTAACTCAGGGAGTAAATAAAGAAGATAACATTGGCTCAAGGAAACAGAAGTCAATGTAGGAGAGAAGGAAAGTAATTCTCAAGATGATAAATCAAGGAAGTCTTGGTCTGGTACTGTGCAGAGGCCTAGAGAACCCTCAGTGCAGATGAGAACAGGAAGGTGGGACTTCGGGTATTCCATACTCTGACTCAATTCAGGGAAAATGTTAAGTTGTATAATAATGAGAATTATGGTATACAATTAGCTTGGCTGAAAGTAACATGTACAGTGTCATAAAAGACTAATTGCAAGCTTGTTTATGAATGTTGCTTTATGACTGGAGAGAACTAAGGGAGGTGTTGGAAGTCTAAAGTCTTCATTCTGTGCGTTTAGGATGGACTCTTTCCATCCATCCTTCATATCCTTTGATTCTGGAAGCTGTTCTTTATTTCCTTGATAATTTCCTCCCCTTTATTGTATTTCTATTTCTGGAATTTTTGTTAGTCAATTTATTTCTGGATTAGTCTTGTTCTCTCTTATTGTCTGATCCTCAGAGGTACTAAGATATGGAAGTGACTGAACCCTACACCAGAGCCTTATGAGTCTGGATTATGTAAATGATGCTGTGTGTAGTGGTAGTAAAGTTTAAACATTTAAAATCTGTTGAACAAGAATGAATTTAATATAAATGCATGTATTGACAATATGAGGAAATCAATGATTTCTTTCTAAAGTATATTCCTCTTAGTACTAAGTATTTGAAAATTTTAAAGGTTGTTTTAGTATGTAATATTTGTACATTTTTATGGGGTGCAGTGTAATTTTTTTTTAAAGTCATGGTTAAGGGCATGGATTTGGTGTCTCAGAGAGCTGTGTTCCACTCCTGACTCTCCATGTTTTTGTTTGTTTTTAAAATATTTATTTGAAAGAGTTACATAGAGAGATCTTCCATCCATTGGTTCACTCTCCAGATGGCTGCAATGGCCAGTGCTGGGCCAAACAGAAGCAGGGAGCTTCTTCCAGGTCTCCCATGTGGGTGACAGGGGCTCAAGCACTTAGGTCGTCTTCTGCTTTCCTAGGCCCTTAGCAGGGGTACTGATCAGAAGTGGAACAGCCAGGACATGAACCAGCGCCCATATGGGATGCCAGCATTGAGGCTTTCTTTACCCTTTGTTCCACACCAGCCTCCAGTGTAATATCTCAACACACAGAAACAGCATGAAATGATCAAGTTGGGTTACTCGCACTTCCATTTCCTTAGCAATACTCGTTTGGAACCTTCTAGGTTCTCCTAATAAAAATATGTTGCTGTGAGCTATAGTCACTCTCTTGTGCTGTGGAACATTAGAACTTACTCCTTCTGTCTGTTTTGTTAGCCCATTATCTAGCTCCCTCCCTCCCCCGCTCCCTGCCCCCAAGCTCTGGTAATCATTCTACATTCAGATCAACTTTGTTTAACTTCCATATATGACAGAGAACATGTGATATTTGGCTTTCTGTGACTGACCAGTTTCATCCATTTTGCAGAAAGTGATAGGATTTTGTTTTTTCCGTGGCTAAATATTTCATTATGTATGTAGACCATCTGTATTCACCCACTGATGGACATCGTTGATTCTGTATCATTGCTGTTGTGAGTAGAGCTGTGATAAACATGGAGGTACAGGTGTCCTCTTTGATAGGCTGATTTCATTTCCTTCAGATACCTACCCAGAAGTGGGATTAGCTGGGCCACATAGGTGAGCTACTGTTAGATTTTTGAGGAAGCTGCCTGCTGTTCTCCATGGTGGTTGAATTAATTTGCATTTCAGTCAACAGTGTGTGTAAGGGTTTCCTTTTCTCTGCATCCTTGCCAGTGTTGTGGATTTGGTTTTTTTTTGTTTGTTTTTTGTCTTTTTGGTAATAACTACTGGAGTACTATGATACCTCATTGTGATTTTAGTTTGCACTTCTCTAATTATTGGTGATATTGAACATTTTCTCGTATATTTTTTGGCCATTTGTAGTTCTTTTTAGTCAGTACTCAATTATTATGCTAGAGCTGTTATTTGCTAAATGAAGAGCAACACATAGCCACTGTTCCATGAAATACTAAGCTCCCTTTGTTTTGGTTATCAGACATTCACAAAATAGAAACCATGTTTTTAAAAAAAGTAACCTAAAACTGTTCTTTTTTAATCGTGAGAAGGGAAGGGATTGGAGAAATATTTTTTGTGTAGAATGCCTTGGGTTCATGAAACAATAAGTGAGACCGTGTTATGTTAGTGTCCCTTTAAAAGATACACAATCTGCTGATATTATAAAATATTCTCAGGGTACCAACGACTTCCTGGTTTGGTAACAACTGGGTCTTTTTCTTTAGTAACCACCTTTACTCCCCTCCTCTGTGCTTTCACATGATATTAAAAGTGCTTCTTATTAAATCTCTATCATCCTCTCTTCCTGTTGTGTTTGACCCCACACATCCTCCTGTCTGAGCTGAAGTTTTCAGTTTCTGAAAAACTAAGGTAGCATCTGCTGTCCACCCATGGATAAGGTCTGTGACAAACCCAAGCGTGTGCCTGGCTTGCTGAAACCAGATCTTACAGAAGGGAAGGAAATGAGTTCATAAGAATGGCATTGCTAAGGGGACTTGATTACTGATTTCTCATAGAAAAACAAAAGGGACAAGTGAAATCCAGTTCTAATAATTTGGCCAAAACAAATAAATGAAGACTTGCTTTGCAGATACTTTGCAAGTAGTGTACTTAGGACAAGATTAGGAACTGAAAAAAAAATCACACTGATGTTGAGTTGTTTCTGATGTGAACTGATTGTGGGTCAACAAATCACCCTAGATGAAAGTTTGTATGAATATTTCATGAAGGTCCAACTGCATTAAGTTATTCAAGCAATTTTGCCTAATTATCAAAACTTGGGTTGGAAAGCTCAGGGTGGTGGTGGTTGGAATTTTCAGCTTTTGATCAACTTTATATCTGTATGTAATTATAAAATCAACCAAGTACTGAAAGATTTGTAGTAAATTGGAATAGTGTTCTGCCACCATCATTCCTGTTCCCCGGGTAAAACTGTCTTTTTTATTTACTTCCCTATTTTAACTCACTTGCTTATAATGCCATTTCTTGATTTATTATTTTTTTGACATTTTTCTAATGATTTTCTGTTAGAGGAGAGGAAGATTTAGTTCTCTTAAGCAAGTGCATTCCCCTTTTTTCTTCCTCTATTCTAATATATTCACATCAATATTTTTTATTAAAGACATTGTCTCTGTTAACACTATTGCATAAATATTGTTTCACTTATGAGCCAATACTATGTTTTAAAGGTTTGTTTATTTATTTATTTGAAAGGCAGAGGCAGAGAGAGAGAGAGAGAGAGAGGTCTTCCATCTGCTGGTTCACTCCCTGGATGGCTGCAACGACCAGAGCTGGGCCGATCCGAAGCCAGGAGCCAGGAGCTTCCTTCAAGTCTCCCATGTATTTGCAGGGCCCCAAGGACTTCAGCCATCTTCTACTGCTTTCCCAGGCCATAGCAGAGAGCTGGATCAGAAGTGGAGCAGCGGGACTCAAACTGGCACCCATATGGGATGCCAGCATGCAGCACTATGCCATAGCGCTGTCACCTATTTTCTTATATAACTGGATTTTCCTAGAGTAGTTGTAACTGCCCAGTGCTTTAAATATTGTTTAGTTTATGTATTTATCTTACATTTTAAAAAGATTTATTTGAGAGGCAGAATGACAGAGGGAGAGACAGATCTTCATCTGCTGGTTCACTGCCCTAACTGGCTGCCATAGCCAGCTTTGGGCTATCCTCCGCTGCCTTCCCAGGCACGTTAGCAGGAAGCTAGATGGGAAGTGAAGCAGCCAGGACTCGAACCAGTACTCCATTGTGGGATGCTGGCATTGCGAACAGCAATTTAAACCCACTGTGCCACAATGCTAGCTCCTTAAATTTTTTTCTAATTGTGTTTGATTTTATCTGCCATTATTTTTCTTTTCGGAAGACCAGGTATGTTAGTTAATCTTTTAGCTTTGTATTTTTCCTCGAGACCTCTCTAGAGTCTGCAGGCCTGCTTCCCCAGTCTGGATGGATCTTTTGCTCAGTTTGCTGCCTTTTGCTATCTTGAGTCTTCCTTTGGATGTGTATCTGGAACCCTTATTTTTAGAATCTTCCATGGTCCCTGTGCTTGGCCCCTGTTCTTCCTTTAACAGACTCCTCCCAGGAATTCCATTAGGCTGCTTTTAGTTTTTGCATGTCTGAAAATGCCATTATTCTGTCCCCACTGTTGAATTTTATCCCATGATATGTATGACTGGGTTTCAGTTGCATTCCATCAGACTTCTCAGCTATTACTCCATTTCACTTTACTTCCAGCAGTTGATGTTGAGGAGTCTAGTGCCATCCTAATTTTTCTTTAACATGTCTCTTTCTCTCTGGAAACTTTGAAGGGAAAAAAATCATCTCCAGTGTTCAGAAATGTAGTGATCTGGTTGGCTCTTTCAGAATAGTGACTTGTGTGTCAGACTGGGAAATCAACCTTCTCTTACGTGTTATGATGATTATAAGCCTTGTTTGACTTTCCTATGATCTTTTTCTGGAACTTCAGTTAGATACCGCCTCTTACAAATTGATCTTTCCCTATCCTTAGTTCTCCCCCTATTTTATACTTCTTGGTTTTCCTTTTCTTAAACCTTTGTTGGAATCTTTTTCTGATATACTCTTTTTTTTTTTTTAATTTGTTTTTATTTGAGAGGCAGAGACAGAACTCCCATGCCTGGTTTCATGAGTCATATGCCCACAATGCACCCCAATAGGGCCAGAAACAGGAACCAGGAGCACAATGCAGATTTCCCATATGGGTGGCAGGAACCCAATTACTTAGCCATCACCACTGCCTCCCACGATCTGCATTAGCAGGAATGCTGGAGTCAGGAGTTGGAGGTAGTCCCAGGCACCCTGATGTGGGACACAGGGTCCTTACCAAAGTCTTAACTGCTAGACCAAATGCCTGCCCCTTCTTTTTTTTTTTTTTTTTTTTTTTTGACAGAAAAGTCCCTTTTCCGTTGGTTCACCCCCCAATGGCTGCTGCAGCTGGCACATGGTGCTGATCCGAAGGCAGGAGCCAGGTGCTTCTCCTGGTCTCCCATGCGGGTACAGGGCCCAAGCACTTGGGCCATCCTCCACTGCACTCCCGGGCCACAGCAGAGAGCTGGACAGGAAGAGGAGCAACCGGGACAGAATCTGGTGTCCTGACTGGGACTAGAAACGGGTGTGCCAGCGCCGCAGGCGGAGGATTAACCTATTGAGCCGTAGCGCTGGCCCTCTTTTTTTCTTTTCTTTTTTTTTTTTTTAACATGGCATTGGATCTCTTTCTTCTGTACTTTATCTCTTTGAAGATATTAATGAAGTTAATTTGGTTTATTATTTCCAATAAATATTTATTGTGCAGCTACCATGCACCAGAGAGTGGTCTGAGATACCCCAGTGACCAAGATAAACAAAAGGCAGACCACCCCAACTGAACAGTTATCAGTTGCCTGTCCTGGCACACTTTCACCTCCTTTTCCGTAGAAATAGACCATCAAGTTTCAGCTGGACACAAAGCTGTCTGTAAAAAGGACTGCATCTGGGCTGGCATTGTGTCATAGCAGTTAAAGTGGCCTCTGTGATGTTCACATCCCATATAGGCACGAATTTGTGTCCTGACTACTACACTTTGGTCCAGCTTCCTGCTAATGGCCTGGGAAAAGCAGCAGAAGATGGCTCAAGTGCTTGGGCGCCTCCCACCTATCTGGGAAACCTGGATTAATCTCCTGGCTTCATCCTGGCCCAACACTGGCCGTTACCACTATCTGGGAAGTGGACCAATGGATGGAGGATCTCTCCCTCCAATGGCCGCCGTGGCTTTTTTTTTTTTTTTTTTTTTTTTTTGATTTTTTGACAGGCAGAGTGGACAGTGAGAGAGACAGAGAGAAAGGTCTTCCTTTTTGCTGTTGGTTCACCCTCCAATGGCCACCGCGGCTGGCGCACTGTGGCCGGCACACCGCGCTGATCCGATGGCAGGAGCCAAGTACTTCTCCTGGTCTCCCATGGGGTGCAGGGCCCAAGCACTTGGGCCATCCTCCACTGCACTCCCTGGCCACAGCAGAGAGCTGGCCTGGAAGAGGGGCAACCGGGACAGAATCCGGCGCCCCAAAGATCTCTCCCTCTCTCTAACTCTGACTTTTGAAATAAGTAAATAAATCTTTAAAGAAAAAAAAAAGGCTCATTCCCCAATTAGTCTGCTGAGTGGTTAGCTGGACTCCCTCATTTAACTCAGCAAGCTTTTCTTTTGGAATTTGTTGATTTCAGCCTGAGGTCTAGACTTCCCTCTCAGTTGGGTCTTGAGTTCTCAAACCCAGGGCTGCCCTAGTTTTCCTCCCTACGCTCTACAAGTACTCTGTGATCTGATACCTTATTTCCTTCGTCCTCATCTCACCACCGCCCCTCCCCTATTCCTTAGTAAATTGAGAACTTTTTCGCTTGCAGGAGAGGCTTTTCTTTGGCGTAGCTGAATTGCAAGCACCACCACTCCTGCACTCTGGCCCTGTTATTAAGTAAAAGTTACTTGAACACAAGCACTGTGACATCATGGCACATAAATGATAAATGAGGTGCCTACTAAGAGAGTAGCAGGAGGATAGCACATAGTGCATGGATCTGCCGCACCAAAGGATGACTCATCCCAGGGACAGCGTGGGTCACTGAGATTTCTTCATGCTGCTCTGAACAGATGCAATTTAAAACTTGGGAATTATGTCTAGAATTTTCTGTTTAATATTTCTGGATCGTGGTTGACTACAGGTCAGAAATTGAAACTGTGGCTAGGGCGACTACTGTGTTATTAATCTCTTCTTGTATTGAATTTATTTATAAGTTAATTTCTAGCATAGGTAATTATGGATAGGAAATAACATAGTATATATAGGGCTTGGTATTACCTGTGGTTTCAGGCCTCCACTGGGGACTCTTGGAACGTATCTCCTACAGATGAAGGGAGGATTACTGTATTTTAGTACACATGTATATCTAAAACTTAGTGCGGGACAGGTGTTGTGGCACAGCAGGTTAAACCACTGCTTGGGACACCCACATCCCATGTCAGAGTGCCTGGGGTTAAGTCCCACCTCTGCTTCCTGTTGAGCTTCCTGCCAGTGCACCTGGGAGGCAGCAATTGATGGCCCAAGTACTTGGGGCCTTACCACCCATGTGTGGTAAACCCAGTTGGAGTTCCTAGCTCCTGGCTTCAGCCTGGCCCAGTCCTGGCTGTTGTGGGCATTTCGGGAGTAAATCAGCGAGTAGAAGATCTCTCATTCTGCATTTCAATTAATTAAAAATGAATAAACATTAAAAAATAATGCCATGTAGAAAGTCTGGTTACCAAAGCTATTTTGAACTGGTCTGAAATATGTTCTTGGGGCCAGTGTTGTGGTTCAGCGGGTTAAGCTGCTGCCTGTGATGCTGACATCCCATGTGAGCACCAGTTCAATTCCTGGCTGCTCTGCTTCCTATCCAGCTTCCTACTAATACTCCTGGGAAAGCAGCAGAAGATGGCTCAAGTACTTGGGCCCCCGCCATCCACGTGGGAGACCCAAATGGAGTTCCTGGCTCCTGGCCCAGACCTGACCATTGGGGCCATCTGGGGAATGAATCAGCAGATGGAAAATCTCTCTCTCTTACCCTCCCTCTCTCTGTGTCACTCTGTCTTTCCAAGGAATAAATCTTTTAAAAAATATATATATTTTTTTAGTGATATAAATACTTAAGTGACCTACCTTGAGAGCCAAATGTCTCAAATGAGAATACTGAAATCATTATATTTTTCTCTGTACTTTTTTATGAATTTAGTTTTCCACTGCATTGTAAAAATGGGAAGTTAAAAAAATATTGTTAGTGGATTTTGTCAGTGTTTAAAGCACCTATGTTCATCTTTGTATTCATATACATAATTTAAATTTTGTGACATAAGCCTATGAAACAAGTAGTTTTAAAATTTAAAATAAAATTGCAATGTTTTCTTCCCTTGTATTTTCTTAAACTGTGTAGATAACAGTTATCAAAAGGGAGTAAAGGGGGAAGAAAAACTCCTGAAATTCTTAATTCCCTGATTCATAAAATTTTATATACTTATGTATATTATAATTTATATATATAATTATATGTATATATGTTTCATGAAAATATAGTCTAAACTTTCCAAATAAAGGTTTTTAAAAATTAAAAAAAATATATATATATATATACTCTCATAATTAGTACTTTGAGATTTGCTGTTGGGATGATCAGAAATTACTTAACAGAAAGAATGGGTCTGGGGTAGATGGGGTTGGGGGTGGGGGTTGAGGAGAGAAGACAGAACAGGAATAAAAACCTAGGTATTAGGAAGTAAGCCCTGGGTCATCCAATGAAGAGGTTGATCCACCCACTCTGCTGACCTTATGTTACATTTTTATCACCTTGTGAAGAAAGGAAACACTGTTGGGCCCCCAAGGGCGGGTTCTGGGCAGAGTTAGGTGGGGCTGGTGGTGAGCTTGGCTTTATCTCCTAGGAATTAAGAGCCAGATGGAATAAGCAGTGTGTTCTGCATGATTAGTATACAAGGGTGAGGCTTCCTATCACAAAGATAAGACGGAACAGCAGCAATCTTCTGCTGTTTTATTTTGAATCTCTCAAAGCATTGTTTGCTAAATGATTTTTCTAAATACCTTGACATTTTCTCTTAAAAAGGGGGGGGGGGGCGGAATCTATGTTTGTAGGAAAAAGAGACGGTTGAAGTGGGGCAGACACTTGGTCTAGCAATTGGGAGGCCACATCCATATTAGCAGTGCCTGGGTTCCAGTTCTGGCTTCAGTGCAGATTCCAGTGTCATCGTAACCTGAGAGGCAGCCGGTGATGGCTCCTGGATGAGTTCCTGCCACCCATGTGGGAGTCCAGGGTTGCCTTCCCCATGCCTGGTTTTGCACCCTGGCCAAGCCCAAGGCATCTGGGGAGTGAACTTGTGAATGGGATAGATGGAAATGGACTCATTTGCATTCTTTCTCTCTTCTCCTCCTCTTCCTTCCTTTTCTCTCTCTCAAGTAAATGAATGAAAGGATGAATAAATAAATAAAAATTTTAAAAATGAACTCCTGACCTGACTTTTCTTTATATATCTGAAAGAGAGAGAGAGAGAGACAGAGATCTTCGATCCTCTGATTCACTTCCCAAATGCCCACAACTGCCAGAGCTGAGCCAGGCAAAAGCCTGGAGCCAAGAGCTCACACCCAGTATCCCACGTGGGTGACAGGAACCCAAGGACGAGCACCATCGCCTGCTTCCTCCCAGGGTGTCCTTTAGCAGGAAGCTGGAGTCAGAAGCAGAGCCTGGACTGGAACCCAGGCCCTCTGAAATGGGATGTGGATGTCCCAAGTAACACTTTACTGCCAACATCTGCCCCTGAACAGATGTTTCTAAAAACAAAAAGCAGAAGTATGTATTCCTTTAGCAGCTCTAAGCAAGTTCTTTTTTTTTTTTTTTAATTTATGTATTTATTTGAAAGGCAGGGTTACAGAGAGGTAGAGGCAGAGAAAGAGAGGGAGAGAGGTCTTCCATTTGCTGGTTCACTCCCTAGATGGCCACAATGGCTGGAGATGCACCAATCTGAAGCCAGGAGCCAGGAGCTTCTTCTGGGTCTCCCACTTGGGTGCTGGGGCCCAAGCACTTGGGCCATCCTTTACTGCTTTCCTAGGCCATAGCAGAGAGCTAGATTGGAAGAGGAACAGCCGGGACTTGAACAAGTTCTAGGTATGTTCTGATGCTTAACTCTTCCTGTTTCCAAGCATAGCTATGTAACTAAGTCCCGAGCTCCCAGATCCTGGATCCTAGGACCCAGTCCCCACCCACCCACCTTGGTGCATATGGGTGTGGCAGTCTCCCTGGAGTGGCTCTGCTACCAAATGCATTCTCTTTCCTGGCCACCTGCAGGTGTTTGCTAAACACTCAAAGCTGTGCTGAGGTGGACTTTCTGTAACAATCTACTAAGCCCAGGGGCTGGTGCTGTGGTGCAGCGGGTTAAAGCCCTGGCCTGAAGCACCGGCATCCCATATGGACACCAGTTCCAGTCCCAGCTGCTCTTCTTCCGATCCAGCTCTCTCCTATGGCCTGGGAAAGCAGTAGAAGATGGCCCAACTCCTTGGGCCCCTGCACCCACGTGGGAGACCAGAGGAAACTCCTGGATCCTGGCTTCAGATAACACAGCTCCAGCCATTGTGGCCATCTGGGGAGTGAGCCAGAGGATGGGGAAGACCTCTCTGTCTCTACCTCTCTCTGTAACTCTATCTTTCATATAAATAAAATATCACTTGCCTATCTCTTCACATCCTCCTGGTCCACTGAGTCATCATTCACGGAAACTCATGTTCGCTGACTCACTTTGCTCATTTCTCTGTTGAACGGATCCTACCGCCCCTGCTGAACTGAATGTGCCAGCTATAAAGAGTGTGTTCTGAAGCTCTCCTGCACATTTCTGCCTCATATTATGAACGCTGTCACTGCCAGGCTGGCTGGTGTGTCTCTCCGTGACTTTCCTGTAGAAGAGGCTTGGTCATTTCTCAGCTCCACTTCTGGATTCAGGGTGTGGGGATGTGGGGGACTGGAACTGGGGTGAGCAGGTACAAACCACACAGGGGACAGGCAGACGCCAGCACCATTCTGCTCCTCTGCCTTGCTCTCTTCTGTGTTCTTACCTTAGAATACAACACAGTCTATTGGCAGGTGCAAATGGACTGCTGTGTATGACAGCTTCTAGCCAAGGAATATCACCTGCAGAAATGAAAGACTTTCCACTTTAATAGAGAGTCTGATTCCCTATAGACCTCCTTGTGGACAGTTGCTTATAAAACTCATGATGGGTGCTGGCATCATGGCCCAGCAGGTTTGCATTGCCAGCATCCCACATTGGAGTGCCGATTTGAATCCAGTCTGCTCTGCTTCTGATCCAGCTCCCTGCTGACGCTCCTGGGAAGGCAGCAGAAGATGGCCTAAATGCTTGGGACCCTCCTGTGGGAGACTCTGGTGGAGTTTTTGTTTCTTGGCTTCGGCCTGGCTGTTGCAGCCCTCTGGGGAGTGAATCAGCGGATGGAAGATTTCTTTCTCTCTCTCCCTCCCTCTCTGTCACTCTGCCTTTCAAATAAATAAAATAAATCTTAAAAAAAAAATCTTCATGTAAACATTTACTCCAGAAGAAAGGAGGTATAGAATTTCCACATTTTGCTGCATCTCACCAATTGTATTACTTTTATAACAATGACTTTGCAGGAATAAAGGCAGCAGCACTTTTTCCTCCAAGTGTTTGTCAAAGTGTATTTCCTGCCAAAAATAAATCTTCGCCCTCACATGTCCTCTCAGGCTTCCCACCAGTCACCCACACAGCCTGTCGCTCTAAACGAGTACCCTCCTACTAATGGCAACCTTTTGGGCAAACCCAGAAATTGTTTCCAAAGACAGAAATATCATTTCCAACTAGCTGATGCACCACATCTGCTGTAGTAGTATTTGATGGCCAGGAATGAGCTTGTTTGTGTTGAAACAGTCGTCTTCCCAGGGTGTAGAGGGCAAGAAGCAGCCCGAGTAAGTGTTTGGAAATACTGAGCAACAGGAGGTGAGTGATGTAACTACCCCTCCCAGTGTTGGAGATACTACCTCGCAGAGTAAGAACTACTCAGAGAAATGAGGGGCCAGAGCTGTGGCACACACAGCGAGTTAAGCCGCTGTCTACAAAGCCAGTTCAAGTCCTGGCTGCTCTACTTCTGATCCAGCTCCCTGATAATGTGCCTGGGAAAGCAGTGGAGTTTGGCTCAAGTTCTTAGGATTCTGCACCCATCTGGGAGACCCAGATGAAGCTCCTGGCTTCTGGCTTCAGCCTGGTCCAGCTCGGCCATTGCGGCCATTTAGGGAGTGAACCAGCTGATGGAAGACCTCTCTCTTTCTCTTCCCATCTCTTTAAACTCTGCCTTTCTGATAAATAAAGTAAACCTTTTAAAAAGATAAAGATACATTCAGGAAAATGATATATTTTTGTGCCAGTTAACCACTGAAGAAATAAACTTATGAAATGTTTAGTGTTAGGCACTGTGGTAATTTTAAGACTATTGCATAAACTGTTGAAATCTTTACTTAATATACACTAAATTGATCTTCTGTATATAAAGAGAATTGAAAATGAATCTTGATGTGAATGGAATGGGAGAGAGCGGGAGATGGGAGGGTCGTGGGTGGGAGGGAAGTTATGGGGGGGAAAAGCCATTGTAATCCATAAACTGTACTTTGGAAATGTACATTTATTAAGTGAAAGTTTAAAAAAAGACTATTGCATAAAGGACTTGAACAGGCATTGTTTTAAGAGAGGAAATTCAAATGGCCTACACACACATAAAAAAATGCTCAGGTTTATTACCCATCAGGGAAATGCAAATCAAAGCCACAATGAGGTTTCATCTCACCCCAGTTAGAATGGCCGTCATACAGAAATCAACAAACAACAAATGCTGGTATGTGGGGAAAAGGTACCGTAATCTACTGTTGGAGGGAATGCAAACTAGTAAAGCCACTGTGGAAGGCAGTATGGAGGTACTTCAGAAATCTGAATATAGACCTACCATATGACCCAGCCATCCCACTCCTGAGAATTTACCCAAACCAAAAAAAATCAACATATGAAAGAGTGATCTGTACCCCCATGTTCCTTGCAGCTCATTGCACAAAGCCAAGATATGGAATCAACCCAGATGTCCATCAACTGATGACTAGATAAAGAAATTATGGTATATATGCACTATGGAGTACTACTGAGCTGTAAAAAAAAAATGAAATCCTGTTTTTGGCAACAAAATGGATGCAACTGGAAACCATTATACTTAGTGAATAAACCAGTCCCATATGTTTTCCCTGATCTGAGGTAACCAATAGAGTACCTACAATGTGACACGTTGGAGTGAAATGCACACATTGAGATTTGATGATTGTTTACGGCCCTTGCCGC